TCTAGGCATCCTGGGCGTTCAGCCCAGGGCCAGGGTGTCGCAGGGAGGAGACAGCCAGAAATGGGGTTGCAACGCACCCCGCTGCGGCTGGCAGAGCAAGCCGGCCCGACGCCTGCACTAAAGGAAGCTTCAGAGAAGCTTCCTTTGCTGCATGCTTTGCCTCGTAACGAACTTGTATAACGTTTGCAGACGCTTACGCGCAGCATGCCAAGGCCGTTGATAGGCTCCTGAGCTAACTCTGCGCTAACTCATGCTACAGAGGGCGTGCGAATCCACTAGCACCAACTCGCCTGGGTTGAAACTGACTGCGGAACGCCGTTTATCATAGTTTCTGGGTTGACGTTCCTGTGCTTTGCGCATGCATTCCCTCGCTGCTGCGAGCTCTATGCCGAAGTCGGAAGCCACAGTCGGTCGCGGTTGGCTTCTAACCGCCAGGTCGAGCGGCGGATCGGCGAGTGGAGTTTCGGTGTAGGCCAGCGACGCCGGGGAGCAGCGAGTGGACGAATGCACAGTAGTGTTATAAACCCATCCTGCACAAGCAAGAATGTCGAGCCAGTTAGATGTGTTCTGTTGGGTGTCAAGTCGCAAATACTGCACCAGCGTGCGGTTGGTGCGTTCGGTCTGGCCGTTGGCCTCCGGATGGTTGGCGGTGGTCATGTTGTTCTCGATGCCGAGCCGTTGCATGAGGCTGCGCCAGAAGGCGCTAACGAACTTCGGATGCCTGTCGGTAATGATGCTTTTGGGGAAACCGTAGAGCTTCCACACATTATTAATGAATAGTTGGGCCACTCCTTCCGCTGTGACCGTGCTCGAGCAGGGAATAAAGTGAGCGTATTTGCTAAGACGATCCACCACGACATATATACTATCATGTCCTCTGACGAGTGGTAAGCCCACTATGAAATCCATGGAGATATCTGTCCAGGTCCTATCGGGAATAGGCAGGCTGTGCAGGAATCCGGGTTTGAGCGTGTTTCGCGGCTTTTGCTGCTGGCAGTCCGGACAAGAGAGGACGTATTCCTCGATTGAGGGGCGCATCCTAGGCCACCAGAAGGACCTGGCAACACGCTCCACCGTTGTATTGACCCCACCATGACCTGCTAAAGCATGGTCATGCATTTTCCGTAAACGTTCCGTGCGAAGCGAGGCCGGAACGTACAATCGACGAACACCACGCTTCGTGTGATACCACAGGAGATCGCCATCGGTGCTGTAGTGCTTGCCCCGTCGCCCGTGGTTGAGCTTAGCTTTTACTGCAGCCGCATGAGTATCTAAGGAATAAGAGGAACGCAATTTAGAAAGAAAACGGGAATCATCACAAA